ATATTTTCAAACAAATCAGTCTCAATAATTATTACTAACCCTTAAATAATTACTCAAAAATTCATAATTATCTCTAACGATAAAATAGTGAAGAATAAATTAATCATTATTTCAAGGTCAGTCACGTCAAAATGGGAATTAAATGAATAAATGAATTTAAATAAATTAATTAAATGAATAAATGAAGAGAATAATAAATTGAATGAATAAATTGAATTAGATAAATAAATTGAATGAATAATTTTTAAAAAATGGATGAATGAAAAAAATAAATAAATTTAATCGACGAATGACGGGAAAAAAATTCATCTCGTATTTCCGGTGCCTCTGGTGTTTTATTATCATCCGAGGAGTCGAGTATTCCTACAATTCCGAGGAACTTAGTGCCAATTCAATATCCCGAGGAGTAAACGAGATTAATGGACGTCGTATGAAGTTATCGCCTTTTACCATGTCGATAGAGTATCGCAGTTTCTCCGGGATATTCAAGCGAAAATGAAAAATATATCGTCGACGCTGAAACGAAGACATAACGCACTATCTGCAGAATTTATTACTCTGGGGAAAATTTTAGTTTACATCTGCGGTTCACCAAGTGTTTTATTTTTTTGAAATTTCGGGGACAAACTGAAAATTATTAAATCATATCAACAATCATAAACAATCAATAAACATTAATTTTGTATTAAATGCCAATTGCGATCAGATGTCTAGTCCCAAAATTATCAAAAATGAATTAATTATCATAGATACATTTACATTATTTTTACAAAATTATTAATTAAGGAAAATTATGTATATGTATGATTATTAGGTACATATATAGCTACGATTATTTAAAACTCACAGGGCACAACCTTTTTAGGTGCTAGGCTTTTTCCCATGAAACCTGCGGCCTCGGCACCTAGGCTGAAACCAATGACGTGGAGCATTGCCATTGGTACAGCATTATTGTCATCCAGCCACTTGACAAATCGTGCAACATGTCTGCCAACTTGTCTTGTATTTCTGACAGCTGTTATGTACCATGGCAAAGCAGCGAGCTTTCCCCAGTCGACAAGAATCACATTGTATTCCCCACGCTCCAGATAAGCTAGAGAAAACAGAATTCAAATCCCATCAACTCGATACAACAATTTTAGTTTTTATTAATAATTCCCATTTTTATTCACTAAAAACAATGAATTTGATTCAAATTTATTATTATTAATCATATCCAGTCGGTTGATTATATTATTGATAATAATATGGGGATAATTGATCATTGAATTAATTAGGTAATGGGATTGTTCATTTATTGCATTGTTGTTGCAATATAATTTAATATTATAATTAATATTGTGGGAGATTTTATTCTTATTTTATTCGATTTTGTGAAAATGACAAAAAAAAATTTTCTTGAAATTTCAAGGAAAAATTTCATTACTGAATAATTATTGCTTGAGGTAATTATTATTGCGAATATTAAATGAACATTCATATTGAAAATATTCTATAATAAATAAATAATCAGAAATGGAAAAGGAAGAATTGAATTAACTAGATAAAAATCGGAAAATTGAGGAGAGAAAACTGATTTTAAAAATCGATTTTTCTTCTGGAATTTTTACTGAAATTTATTTATTCATTATTGCTAATGAATTGGGGAATTTTACCGGCTAAAATAGCCATGGCACTTCTTCCGTTACTTCTCTCCGCATATCCATGAATAAAAACGATTGTTGGATTCGATGGATCGAAAAAGCTGTTCCGCAAACTTCTCGAATTTCCGAGCTTCAGAACATTCGGTCTCATCGGATTTTTCCTGCAAACACAAAAGGATAATATTATAAATTATCGAATAGAGAAGAGGGAAGATAGGGTGAATTACGAAATGCGTACTTAGTGTAAAGTTGAAACTCTATATCACGATCCACTTCGATACTGCAGCACAAAGCGCATGTGCCAGTGGGAAATGGCGATATATTCAGTCTACTACCCCCTAGAATTAATCATTAACATTCATTAATTAATAATTATAAATTGCGAGAACGCAAAGTATCAATTTCCGAACAGCACTTTATGGAACTGACGCATTTGATTCACTCATTTAGTAATTAGTAATTAATTTATTATCAATTATTGATGAACTAACTAATTAATTAATTATGGATGGATAAATTGTGCGAAGGATTTTTATAGGAGGAACTGACGAAACGATTGACTGAAATTAATCATTTCCTTGATAAATAATATTAAAAAATTTTGTATTAAGCATGTCTTGGGGAAAATGGCGTGGAATTACGAATTTTTACGGTTGAATCCAAAGAAAAGATGAAAGGAAAAGCACGAGCTGAAAATTAGGTGAACTCTCTGGAATAACTCGACTGCAATAAAGAGAACTCTCAGCGATTTCGCACCTGTTTGTGTCTGAGAGAACAAAAAGTGAATAAAAAAGAGAAAAAAAATGCAGGTAAAACCCCAGGTGTCATGCTTCGTTGGCATCGGCTGTTTCCATTTTACTCCAAAGAGTTGTTAAAGTAATTGAGGAAATTTCAGATTCACTGGTACTGTCGCTCACTAAAACGATTAAATCCCGTATTTTCCGGAGGAATTCAACCACTCGATCACATAGCACTTGCCGATCACCAAATAAATGATTGATAATCGATAAAAAATTAAACATCAACCGATCGTCTTCTCGGCTTTAACGATTCCGCAATAATAATCACCTGTGTTAATTACGATGAGCCGACATAACAGGGGGGTGAAGAATGAGAGTATCATATTTTTTGTGTCTCCGATGGCATCAAGAAATCGGTATGTGGAAAAATAATGGAGAACCGTTCGTTCTGATCCTTCGGTGCAAACTGACGGGAATAAATTCACCCGATTCTCTTATTTCTAGTTCACATCGGTAAAAAACTAAACCGCTTGTTCTTACAATGATTTTCACCAATCGATCGGTTCTCTTTTCGACCTTTCAATTTCACATTAAACTTCCTTTCCTCCCTCACTTTCAATGGCACTAGATCCTCTGGAGATGATCGTCGCAGGATGAAGGAAATTTTTTGTTTAAAATCGATCACTTGTATTTGTACGAAAATTATTTGGAAAGTCAAACGGAAAATTGAAAATTTTATCAAAGAATTCTGGGAAGTTGAAAAATTTCTTGGTTTCACGTGTTTTTTTTTATTAATACCGATATTTTTACTGATTCTGCGGTCTTTAATGATGGGATTAATTGCATAAACGATGTGAATAATGGAGTAATTAATATGAAAAGTCGGGGGAGAATCTCTGAAGTTGAGGGTGTGGGAAAACTCTGGAGATTCATTGAAATCCCAACCTCATCGAACTTTACGAGCGATTGGGTACTGCAGTACCTTTCGATCCAGTTCGATAGTTAACTCTTATCGCATCAGCGAGAATCAATTCAAGAGGACGAGGAAAAATCCCTAGATCCAGAAAGGGGTAGCCACCCCTCACCTGCACTATTTAAAAATTACTCTCCAATCAGAAAATTTAATCAATAAATTTAAAATAAAAAATTGCAACAAAAATTGAATTGAAGAATTGATTTTCACAATTTAAATAATTTCATTTATAACATATAATTATAATATAAATTATATAATTTCAGTAAAATAATTGAGATTACAGATTGAATTAAATTCAATTTTCCAGGAAATTTTCCTTAACGATTTTTTCTTTTATTATTTTTTATTTGATTTTATTATTTTCGAGTTTTTTTTTTCGTGGGAAATATTAAAAGAAACTCATCAGCCAAGTTCTTCATTAGTCCTCGAATGATTTCGCAGACATCAGAGGCTCCCAGAGCTGAAATAGAACTGCTATTCGGATCGGTATTGAGGCAGTCCAAACATCTGCCATGGCCAGACAAAAGCCGCCGCGGGAAATTGGGGTACGAGGGGATGAAATGAAACAAAAATATGTCAGAAGATGAAAGAGCTAGATGAAACTCTCAATAAAAAATCGGGAATAACGGTAAAAATACTAGCATGTGAGAAAAAATCGGAATAAATAACTAAAATTGATTTCTGTCAAATTCAATATCGAATTAATAATATATAAATGAATAATAAAATATAATCAATATATATTAATTATTAATATATTTACTGTACATTTTTAATGATTTTTCCAACCCTCGGTTGTTGTCGAATAATATATAATTAATATATATTAATTATTAATATATTTACTGTACATTTTTAATGATTTTTCCAACCCTCGGTTGTTGTCGATTTATACCGATTTTTTAATATTTTCACGAGTAATGCGGAATGCAGGATAAGGAATGGACCAGTGGGGTAGTGGGGATATTTTGCGCATCATCCCCTAATATCTGGAAACCACCCCTGACCCAGATAGGGGTGCATAACACACCTAACGGCTGGTCCATAACCACCACGAGACTGTTACGTACCATCGGACACGTGCGATGCTCTGCATACCTCTCCACAATCTATCCATTAATCCTGAATATTCCAAAACAATTTTTCAAACGTACCAATAAATATTTTTGATTAAAAAAAGGGCTGAATTAAATGAAAACAGAAAAAAAAGACTAGAACTTTTCTGTTCTAGTCTTTTTTTTTCTGTTTTCTTGTGCATGAATTTTTCAGCTAAAAGAAAAATTCATTGAAAAGTTTTGTAAAGATGAATGATTAGGAATTTGGTAATTGAATAAATTAATTATTCCATTTATTAATTATTATTATCCTTAGTTTTGTAAAGATGAATGATTAGGAATTTGGTAATTGAATAAATTAATTATTCCATTTATTAATTATTATTATCCTTGACCTTTGTTTATAATTTATATTTTATTTGTCCGTGTGAACTTGAATTGTTGCGTGTCATGAATCAGTCCCACGGATTTTAGAGAAATGGCGTTGCCGGATGCAATATTGATTACTTGTTGCAATAAATTTAACTGGAAAGTTATTTATTTATCGATTGATGATAATAATTTGTGGAAATTGTCGGGTTTTCAGGATAAATTGCTGACGAAGTTGGAGGAGAATGAACCCGAAATGGCGTCTTCGCAAGAGGACGAAGTGAGTACTCACCTAATTTTATAAATAAACAAAATTTTTCATAAATATTCGGCCCAACAAAAATAATAGTCTACCTAAAATTCAAATTTTTCTGTATTTAAAATAAATGTTTATTTTAATTTCAAATAAATTCCGGGTCAAAATTAAATAATCATTTTTTAACAATAAGATCACAAGATGTTAATGAATTTATTGAATTTGTTAGATAATTTATTGATACTGGCCAATTAAAAGAAAAAAATAAAATTTTGAATGAATAAATCTTTTGTGGGAGTGAATGAAATTTCAATTGCTGAAACTTTTGTCAAATTTTTTAAATAAACATGAAGAGTGGGAAAAAATGATTATTTAATTGATTTTCCACGAAAATTTCTCTTTGTGACATATTGTTCGGCCTTCGTCGGGTAATTCTTGTATCTCCGTTTTATTTTACGATAGTTACGTGATCATTGCGACAATTCTAGGTAGAATTACCGTTTTTGCATGCGCGAGAAGAGAATTGAGTGATAAAAAATAAGTTTTGACGATCTAATGAGTCCCCAGGGGCCTTGATATATCCTCTCATTATTACGTTTCCGCGATGTCTGACGGTAATTGGGAAAATTACCTGAACTACTTGGAGATTGTCTCCCGCTATAAATACGCGCGTTGCGTTCGGAAAATTATAGTTGTCTATTTACAGACAGGGATGAAGGGGTGTGTTGTGTTATTATTTGTTGCGAGTGTTGTTGCGGCAGTGGTAAGTACTCATTACCTCCATTTTCCGAAAGCTAGCGAAGCCTGGGAATTTTTTTAAAACGCTAAACAGCGAAATGATAAATTTTCCAAATTTCCGGAATTTCCTCCTCACGTAATCGTGGATTTATATCGAAACCTATCGAATTAATTGAAAAACATGAAAAAACCTTTTTTGTTCAGATTTTAATTATCTACAAAAAAGTTCCTTAGCGTTTCCACCTGAGATCGATAGGTCTCGAGATAAATCGATGGTTATCGATTGATTTTAGATTGACCTATCAGATTTCGATAGTGATTCGTTTTTTGTTGTTGTTTTTCGAGTTTTTGTTGTTAATTTTTTGGTTTATAGACAGCCCAGGCCAGGGTGCCGATGCCGTCGATGGCGGGGATGGGGGCTGGACAAAATGGACGAAGAAATGATGGAATTGGGGCCAGAGGGGGAGGGATGAGGCAGATGGGGGGAATGGGACGGATGAGAAGAGCCTCTGAAAATTATTGGAAAGAAGATGGTAATAATAATAATAATTGAATAATAATTAAATGATTTGTCAATTCATTTACAAAATTTTATTGTTAACAATTATTTAATCCAGAAGCCCATGATAGAAATCGTCGACAATCTTCTGACAAATCCACCGGAACAGCTGCTCTAGGATACGGTAAAATCATTCACCATTATTTAAACAAATTATCAAAATAAATTACAATCAATAAAATTAATCACAAAGAGGTGTAAAAAGTTCAATTCATTTCTTGAAATTATTAGTATTAGTAATTTAATTATTTTAATAATTAATTCGATTGATTCTGTTGGATGCTTTATTTTTTATTGTTAATATGAATTTGTTTATAGGTGGCTGTTATGATAATGGACATGGCGGACATGGAGGACATGGAGGACATGATGAGTGGGACGATGGCTGGGGACATGGCAGTTGGTCCAGCAAAATCCAAGACAAGAAATCATAATTAATAACAATAACACTAACAAATCGGTTAATTACTGGATATTAAGAAAGAAAAAACAATAAAAAATTAAACAATTGAGAAGTAAAATGACAAATAATTGTGTAATCTGATGATTTAATAAAGTTTATGGATTGATACTGAGTGGATAAATTAATTTGATATTTATTTGGTAATTATTTAGATGGGAGTTTAGTTGATTAATGAAGTTTTTGAATTGATAACTTTTGCGTGTGCTAAAATATTCATTTTGTTGATAATTTATTCATTTCTGCAGTGCGTCATCTGCGTCAACGCAAGAGCTACGATGCAGACTGCGCCCTGCGGCCATCGAGTTGTCTGCAGGTACGGCAATTGTTCAGAATAATTGTTATAAATAAAAAAAATTGAGTTCTCGCCGATTTCCCACGAAACGACAAAAATGTCCCGAAATCCCAGTCAATGCGATAATTGCAGAAAAATTCCCCTAAGATTGGAAAAAAAAAATTGTTCCCTCAATTAATTACATTAATTAACAATTTTTAGACGTTGTTTTGTGAAAACAATACAAATGGCAGTTTCTCAGCGACTGCTCCCACTCCGATGCGTCATTTGCAGAGCAAAAATTCTGCGGCTCAAGCAGACGCTAATCCCCAGAGACGTAAGATAAATTGTTTATTATCTCACCGAACAAACAATATAAAAATTAAATAAACATGCGAGTGTATAAAATATAAAACCGGAAAACTATAATTTTTTATCAAATATTCTATCGATTTCCAACAATTTTCATTCATTCTAAAAATATTTATAAAATCAAATGAAAATTGAGTATTTATTATAATCAATAATAATAACAATAACAACGAAGTCATTTAATTATCCATTCATTTATAAGTAATTGAAAAATGTCTGAGTTTCAATCCAGTAATTTTTTGACGATTGAAACTCGAAAAATTGTAATTGCCAATTCCAGTAGATTGAAACATTAATTAAAATATTTTAATTATAAAAAATCCAGTACTCAATGTCTGGAAAGTCGTGGGTGCTGCCTCAGAGTGCATCGGAGTACAATATGGGTGGAGGTGTTGGTACCAGTGGAGGTGGTAGATGGGTCCCAGGATCAGTCCCAGCGTCGGCATCGCTCTACTCCATGGCGAGTGGATCATCCTCCATATCTGGTCAGCCCTCAATTAATTGAATTACGTAATGACTCGCCCCATCCACCCCCCTATCCTCACGTTTTCTTCATCCCCAGGTGTGTCTTCCGTGTCATCAGCGACGTCATCATCAGCGAGCAGCTCAGGGAGTTCATCCATGTCGAAACCCACGCGACTGCGACAACCGACAGGTGCAACTCTTCGGAGGACCCAAACGCAATCGATGAAAATGCGAATACAGGTGAGAAAAAAAATAATTGAGAGTTTGATATCGATAATGTGGATACTGAGGGTGACATTTAATCTCAGGAGTATCAAGATCCCATTCAGCAGATTGCTGAAGACGATGATGCGATAAGAGACAATCGCGAGAGACGACTGCCACCAATCAAAGAATTTCAGCGAGATTATCGCGCTGGAAAAGCTTCCACAAGGCTCAGGTAATTCGACTGTTCTTTTCCTTTCCCTTCCTTTCAAACAGGAAATCGATATCAACCGAACCGATTCCTCCGATTGATCAATTTCCTCTAAAAACTCTCGCGAAAGAAAGTCCTAGATTTTTTCATGGACTCATTTTTTCTGCTGAGTTTTACAGAAATATCTCCCAAACTAATGAAAATATCGAAAAATTAGTAATAAAGTTTTTCCGAGCTCTCAATTAGATCTACAAAAAAGGTCGAATGAATGTTGCGCTATCTCTTTTAGATTCCGAGGTTTTTGGAAAAATGGGAATTGAATATGTGGAGGTAATTTCTCGGATGTTGAAGAATTGATGAAGAAATGGTTCCGATCAATCGTAGAATTTTATTTTATCGGTTCATCTTCAGGGGATATCAGTAGAACAGTGAATCGATGCAGAAGGTAGATACTAGATGCTAATGAGTACTTGAATTGCAGATGCGCACAGAAAATAGTGACTCAACTGGAGATATCGCCAACCCATCGAGTCCCTCCGAGCAATCCTCCAATTCCCTCATCATCATCATCATCAGCATCAACCCGTGCATCAACAAAAAGGCCGAGCTCGGCCCCTAGAACAGTGGTAACAGTAGCTCAAGAGGTGCAAAAATCAAAAAAAGAGAAGGAAAAGGAGAAAGAGAGGGAGAAAGCGGAAAAGGCCAGACAAAAGGAGGAGGAAAAAGCGGAAAAAGCTAGAGCCAAGGAGGCGAAAAAATTGGCCAAGGAGGAAAAAAAGAGAGCAAAGAAAGAGGCTAAAGCACGCCGAAAGGAAGCGGAAGAGTCACTCCTCAGGGATGATAAATAATAATCCAATAATAAAAATCTTTGTTGTACCCTCAACCCCTTTCCTGCCAACGTTCAATCCAAAATCCAGTGAGTAACGATGATGAATAATATATAACAATAAAAGGGATTTGATAATTTAGGTGATAATGACGGCTTAAAGCATTGAAGGGTGACAGCTCGTGGAAATAATGGAAATAATGGAAATAATGGAAATAATAGAAAGAATAGAAATAATGGAAATAATGGAAATAATGGAAAGAATGGAAATAATGGAAATAATCGCCGACCCTGACGGATTCAAGCAGTGGCCAAAACTAAATTACAAGGAATCAATAAAATATTCGACGATTGGATAGTTAACTTATTAGTTGAAACGACTAGGACTTCTAGGTTTAGGTTTTTTTCGGGTGAAATAAATAACCAGAAATGTTCCTTCGGTCAATTGTTTTTGATAAGGAACAATGCATTTCTAGCCTAAGAGTTCAATCGAACGATTTATCTGCGTTCTCTAATTAGACTAGAGTATTTTAAATAATTTATGGAAGTTGTAGGGATTTTCATGGATTAATGATTGAAATGCCACGGAGATTAATGATTGAAATCAAAATTAGTACTTCGGTAGGTGGAAATAAATATCAAAAGGTGATAGAAAGTGATAGAAATCATCGGATAATCGTGGGATTATACCATCGCGTTGTGTAATATGTTTTTATTTTTAAATAAATGGAAAATTGGGGAGTTGTACTTGGCTTTAGCGTCTCTTCGATAATTGCGAGTGAGTAACACTGAGAATAACGATAAGATCTCGACGCACATATCAAAATGTTAGGGGATTTATTGGCTTTAGTCGATTCGGCTAGTTTACCCTAGGAAGTCAATTACATCGTTGTTGAAATTTTTATCAAATTGTTGAATCGTCGCCGGAAGATACCTATGGGGTTCATTTAAATTAGTTGATAACAGCTGATTAGATTAATCAACGATTCATTAATACTCATAACGGTTTTAGATCACGTGTAACGAATTTTTAGCTTTCCACACAAGTACTCACTGCTTTCACTGTCATATTCATTATACTCACCCGAAATTGTCAATCAGATTCATTAATTACAACCGTAAAGTCGTTATTCCCAGTGTAGGGTGGGGAGGACGGAGTGAAAATGGAAAAAATATTGGCGATTAAATTTTGATATTTATCGGTTAGAAATTTCTGGTGTAGGATATGAAGAATCTGATAAACTCAGTCATTCAGAAATGTCAATTTTTATCGAGTACGTGGCGTGCTGAACTCTCACCGATGACGTGTACTTGAAAACGAAAAAAAAAAATGAATGTAAAACCGTCAACCGAAAATACGAGAGACGAAACGAAATAATACAAATAATGCTGGAGTAAAAATACATGGAAAAAAGGATAAAAAAAAAATAATCCGTGCATGTTGTCTTCTGCTGGTGGAGGCGACCTTGAGCCACTCAAATCCATCATTCGATCTTCCGGTTGTCCTTCGAGGGCACCAGGTGATGGTAACGAGTGCAATCCACGGAATAATAAAACGATCCATTATATTTTATCGTAATGATCATTACGATAATCTGTTGGACACACCGAGAGAAATATTCACTGAAAATTATGGAACAATAATCCGTTGTGGTGACACGAGGAAAAATTATTTCTCATTTTTCAGCAATTGTTTTTCTTTTTTTTTTCATTTCAGATGAAATTAATGAACCCACATTAAATATTATAAATATTATTGGGATAATTCTCTTATTTTGAGATTAATTCGGGATTACTTACGGATTCTTATCAATCTAGGTATGATAAAACCACTCGTAAATTCGCATTGTTTATTGAATTTTTCTCTTCGTGAATTAAACAATCGTGTCTATATTCTGATGTTAATTTTTTATACATGTTCTGAGTTAAATAAAAGCCTCGTTTTCACGAAATTCACCAAGAAATTCACCCATAAAGCCGATTGACGATTGAAAAATGGACTTGAATCAAACTCGTGGTCAATGATGAAGTATTAAAATTTTTATTATGTAGGTTACCCTTGGGTTGAATGTGGTAATAAAAAATTAAATCGAGGCGTTGATTGACTAATGAATTAACAAGTTTATATCGTGATATTAAAATACATAAGGTAGAATAGTAGCTAGACACTGTAGCTTTTTTTATTTTATATGCGCGCTTCTAGAGAAGTCTGTCGAGACTGGATAAATTGTTGGTGAATAATTAAATCGACATGATTATTCTCGCAAAATTATGACATTGCGAGAAATAAATGTGTCGAGTGAATCCCGCACTTTGTAACGGCTTATCCTGAGCGTTAGGGTATCTGAATCTATTTTTAGTAGTTTTACTCGATTGACTGTCGAGAAAAATTGAACAATTGGGAGACAACTAGATCTGTATGAACTTATAATGCGATGTTTAATCAGTCGGACAAATCCAATAAAGAGGAGTTGATAAAAATTATTATTATTTTATTGCTACGGAAAATTCCTTGGATTGTCTTCAAATTTATTTGACAATTAATTAATTATCCATATATTATTACAACATCTTCTGAAATTAATCAGTTAAATAATTTAATTAATTCATTAATTATCCATATATTATTACAACAGCTTTCAAAATTAATCAGTTAAATAATTTAATTAATTATCTGTCTGTAAAAATTTTCAGTTAGTCAACACTAATTTTTTCATTAGTAGAATTAGTTTAAATGTCAATTTTTTTAAAATTAAGGTTAAATAGAGTTTTACCATTCGACTACGGATATATTCGGGAGTTTGATAAATTTTGCGAGGTGTCAGAGATGAATTTCCTGACCCACCTGACACGTCCCTCGATGGAGCGCTGGAGATCGTCGCCGTGGAGCCCATAGAGGATTGACTAAAGTAGAGGGTCAGTTCTGGGGGTTTGAGGGACCCCAGCTGCATCGTAGTATTGCACCCCAAGAGAGGGAGGGAGCCACACGCAATGCTGTGGTGTCTGAATGCTTTTTGTTTTTTATTTGTTTAATAGAAATTTAGCCGACTGGAGAACGAGTGGAAGGGGGAAGCTACATCTTGTGGAATTTCAATGAAAAAAATTATTTAATATATTGAAAATAGGAATTATTTAAAAAAAAAAAAATGAATCCTGGCGGGATCGAACCCTGGCCGTCGACGTGATAGGCAAGCACGCTGCGAATTAGACAACTCGCTCATTATAAAAATATATTTTCATTAGTGGTATATCTTCAATATATTGAATAATTTTTTCCATTGAAATTCTACAAGATGTGGCTTTCCCCTTCCGCTCGTTCTGCAGTCGACTAAATTTCAGTAAAACAAATAAAAAACAAAAAGCATTCATACCGCAGAAAATAAAATTAACCCCGTCGACTTGATGAACACCCCAGCATTGCGTGGGGCGCCCTCCCTCTCTTGGGGTGCAGTACTACGATGCCCCTGGGGTCACTCAAACCCCCAGAACTTAGCCTCTACTTCAGTCAATCCTCCTTGGTGGAGCCCGTGAATTCCGGGAGAGACTTGACGTTTGACGTACAGTGTTTTTGCCCTTTGAATCGATAGAAAAATTTCGTGTGAAAATGTTTAAATAATGTAAGGATCCCTCAAAATGAGCAGGATGGTGAGAAATGTCTGTCCAGGTGGAGGCCTCTTCGTCGTCGAGGGTGAGGTCAGCCTCCTGATGACGGCGATGCGACGAGGAGTCAGATGGTCATCCCATTCCCACCAGGTGACTAAAAATATTATTCTCCAACAGATAGATTCCAAAAAAAAAAATCTTTCCACGAAGTTCAAAATCCCCTTTCTGAAGGTTTTAACCTCAAAATTGATGCCCCAATGAAACGTCAAGGTTAGGTCTGTCGTGTTGTCATTCTTGGGACTTTAGGACTACCAGATGTCTAGGGAAATCGAGAATTTATCTCTCTTCTGGTTATTCTGGTGATCCAATTCGAAATTGGATGATTTATATTTCTTTAATGACATGAAGCTGATCTTTTCAGGATGAGGATCAGGACATTCTCATGAAAGGATTGTCGACCCTCAAGGAAGCCCTGAGTGATGCCAGAAATTTATCACAGCTGGAACCTGGTGCTTTCCTGGCGCCTTTCCTGGAGATTATTCGGTCAGAGGAGACCACTGGGCCTGTCACGAGTCTAGCACTTGCTGCTGTCAATAAAATGATTTCGTATGGCTTGATAGATCATGAGCACCCAGCGATTGGTCCCTGCGTCGAGGCGATAGCCGATGCAGTAACACACGCTCGTTTCGTGGGTACAGACGCCTCAGGTGACGGTGTAGTCCTGATGAGAATTCTTCAGGTGTTGCGTACCCTAGTGCTCTCCCCAGCAGGTGATTACCTCTCGGACGAGAGCATCTGCGAGATAATGCTGAGTTGCTTCAGAATTTGCTTCGAGACACGTCTGAGCGAATTGCTTCGTCGAACAGCTGAGCACTGCCTCCGTCACATGTGCCAACACCTGTTCGTACGACTCCCCCACTTCGGTGAAGATACACGAGTCCTCCCGAACATGAAGAAAATGCGAACGAGCGGCCCTGAGAACTCTCGGTCAAAGACTCGACGACTGAAGAATCAGTCAAAACAGAAGATCAATCAAAATGCGGACGAAGTGGATGACTCTGAGACGAAGGAGCTGCTGAGTCCTGTGGATCGTGTGAGGGCAGGTCATCTGGCAACGACACCAGTCACACCAGCAGGAAATATTGTCGATATGCAGGGGTCCCTGAACCAAAGCACTCCAGATAAACCAGACGACGAGAAAATCCCAAAAATCGACAGTCCAGGGCAAGAGAGCCCTCAGGAGCAGCTTTCACCCCCTGGTGAAAGTCCTCAGGCCCCAGAGGGCCCCTCCACTGAAGCTGAACCAGGAGAAGAGTCTGAGAAACCAGAAAATATCGAGCCCCAGCCCCAGCTCCAGAACGAAGGAGAAAAAAGCCCTGAATTAATTCAGTCACCAACCGGAAGTGTGGAGGACCTCTCGGTGGAGGAAACACCTGTACCACCCACTGAATCAACTGTTCCGACCATCAAAGTTGACTCAGATCATCTCGAGGAGTACGTGAACCCACAGGGGGTGCGTTTCACTCCTCTGCAGCAATTATCGCCTTACGGTGCGCTCTGTATTCGTGAACTCTTCCGCTTCCTCGTCTCCCTCTGCAATCCCCTGGATAAACAGAATACCGAGGTGATGACTCATCTGGGCCTGTCCCTCCTGCAGGTAGGCCTGGAGATATCCGCTGATGCCCTGTCAAATTTTCCTTCCCTTCTGTCGCTGGTCAAAGATGAGCTCTGCAGAAACTTAATTCTTCTGCTGAACACTGAGAGACTCTCTATCCTCGCCGCTGATCTTCAGGTCTCCTTTCTGCTCTTCGAATCCCAACGGGAACACCTGAAGTTCCAGCTGGAGCACTATATTCTGAAGCTCATGGAGATTGTGAATTCAGACTCGAACAGGATATCGTACGAGCAGAGAGAGCTAGCCCTGGAGGCCATCACTCGTCTTTGGAGAATTCCAGGACTGCCAGCAGAGTTGTACCTGAACTACGACTGCGGCCTGTACTCTAGTAATTTGTACGAGGACCTCATGAAGATGCTGTCAGAGCACGCCTCCGCCCTGATGGGGACAATGTACAGTATTCAATTCATATCCCTAGATGCAATAATCCAGCTGATAGCTGGTATCGAGGCACGATGCAAGGGGTACAAGGAATTCTGCAAGCCCTCACGTCACTCTTCCTCAGTCTCCCTTCCGTCTCGAGATGATCTGCTGGTGACGAAAGCCAATAAACGTTGGCTAGCCCTCGGCACTGAGAAATTCAACGAAAATCCAAGGGAGGGAATTTCAAAACTGATGGAACACGGTCTCCTGGGGGATGTTCCAGGTGAGCCAGACCCAGAGAAAATAGCAAAACTCCTGCGAGAGAACCCCATGATGGATAAAAAAGCAATTGGTGAATACATAAGTCGAAAGGAGAATAAAAACATCCTCAACTGCTTCGTCCAGAATTTCGATTTGAGGGATACGAGGATAGATCAAGCCTTGCGATCGTATTTGGAGTCATTCAGGCTCCCAGGGGAAGCTCCACTGATATCCTTACTCCTGGAGAAATTCGCTGATCACTGGCACGACAGCAATGGTCGACCCTTCGCCTCTGCTGATGCTGCTTTCACCCTGGCATACGCTGTGATAATGCTGAATGTCGATCAGCACAATTACAATGCAAAGAGGCAGAGCAATCCAATGACGCCTGATCAATTCAAGCGAAACCTGAAGAAGGTCAATGGGAATGCTGATTTCGACCAGGACATGCTGGACGAGATCTACAATTCCATAAAGAACGAGGAGATCGTGATGCCAGCTGAGCAGACAGGACTCGTAAAGGAGAATTATCTCTGGAAGGTGTTGCTGAGGAGGGGAGCATCTTCAGAGAGTCTCTACCTGAAGGTGGCAAACGAGGGGGAATTCGTGGACAAGGATCTCGCAGAGAGAGCCTGGGGCCCCATAATCAGTGCACTCTGTCGAGCCTACGATAAAGCACCCGATCGTGCCCTCCAGAGGCGAGTAGCTCAGACATTCCTCTGCTGTGCAGCCATCAGTGCTCATTATAATATGACGAGTGATCTAGACACTCTCATCGTATCCCTCTGCAAATTCACTGGTCTAGCAACAGGTGGCGAGCCCGATCAGGTGGTTCTACATCTTGGGGGAAGTGGAAGATGCCAATTGGCAGCGAGAACTCTCTTCAGGATCACCCACTCCCATGGTAACGGTGTCAGGGCATCCTGGAAGAATATCATCGACTGCATGCAAACCCTCTACAAATCTCGATTGCTCCCGCAATGTTTGACTGATGGTGAGGACTTTCTCGATCCATCGGGGAAGGTCACTCTGATCAGAGAGCCAACAACACCGAAGGCACCACCCCAGGAACAGGGAATACTCTCGAGTCTTTACTCTTACATCGCTTTGGACACTACAAGGCTGCCACACCCAGCAGAGGCCACAACGAGAAAGCGTGCCACCGACTGCATTATTAATTGCAATCTCAAACAGATAATCGAGGAGTCAAAGTTCCTAGAGGTCGATGCTTTGAGGGCCCTAGTGGGTGCTCTGGTATCTGTCAACTCATACGATGAAGATATATCAGTGTTTCTCCTGGAAGTTCTCCTGGAGGTGACGATACAGAATCGAGACAGAGTTATGAGTATCTGGTCGATAGTCTTGGCACACATGGATGGATTGCTGACAACAGCTGCCAGGGAGAATCATCCCTATCTCCTGGAGAGAGTTACCGTTGGATTATTGAGACTGGCAATTCGATTACTCAGGAGTGAAGAATTTGCATCGACTGTCCTACCACCGCTGATGCCACTTACCCACTTGCAGTCAGCTACAACAGCTCCTCTAGCCCGACAGATATCCTTCGGGTTATTTGAACTCCTGAAGACAGGTGCTGCTAATATCCACACGTCTGAAGACTGGCGGGTGGTGTTCAACCTGCTGGAGTGCTCTGGTGGTGGTGCACTGGTACCAAAACAGCAGGGGAATACAGTACTCGAGGAGACAGTGAGGACATCAGTCCTGGATCAGAGACCGATATCACCAGTGCCCGAGTGGGTTCTCGTATCACCAACAGGCACTGAGGCACCACTTCCTGTCGCTGCAGACACTATTGTCCTTGACAGGGATCTCCTACCTCACGATGCAGCAGCTCTCGTCAAGTGCTGCGAGTCCCTGACATTTCTTGTACGTGATGTCGCCCATGTGACACCATTCAACTTCGAACTCTGCATAAGATGCATCAGAACACTTGCCGAGGCAGTTCTGCAGACACCAACCAAGAGGATCAGACTATCCCAGGGTGCTATGGAGACACCTGGGTATCAGGAGTGTCCCATACAGCTGCTGGAGCTGATGCACACGTTGCATACGAGAACGGCGCAGGTGTTCAGGTGGTGGGCAGAGGAGAATGGCAGCACTGATAGTCTTTCGCTGTGGCCACACGCCTGGAGACCTCTTCTTCAGGGAATAGCCAGGCTGTGCTGTGACTCGAGGAGACCCGTCAGGGCAACTGCCATCACTTATCTCCAAAGTACACTTTTGGCACACGATTTGAGTCAGCTGAGCGCTGTCGAGTGGTCACAATGCCTAGAGCAAGTTCTATTTCCACTTCTTGCTCAGCTCCTGGGCCCCATCTGCGGGAATGATCCAGTGGGGGTCGAAGAGACGAGGGTACGTGCTGCTATGCTCCTGTCCAAGGTCTTTCTCCATCATCTCACTCCACTCCTCACTCTCCCAGGATTCCTTCCACTCTGGCTGACTGTTCTCGATCTCATGAGATCATTCATGCATGCTGATAACAGTGAGCTACTCTTCGAGGCCATTCCTGAGAGCCTGAAGAACATGTTACTCGTCATGTCCAGCACTGGAGTTCTCACCACGTCGTCACACCTCTGGGAACCCACCTGGAGGACTATTAATAATTTTCTCCCCAATTTGAAAGGGGAATTGTTCCCAGAACCTGTGAAGGTCGAAGAAAAAATTGGGGGACAGACGTCAGTTCTCAGTCTTGTTGGAGCTTCTGAAGGGGATAAGGGGGCAATTGAGGCTGCAATTCCAGTACTCGTGCCTGGGGTGATGCAGCAGGTACTTGATGAGAAAGGAGAAGAACTCAGGGAGGAGATGGGATCTGTGATGACTGCGGGCCCCAGGGTCCTGGATCATGAGACCCTTGGCGAGAATTCACCCCTCAGGCAGTCTCTTCAGGATCATGAGAACAGGGAGGTCGTTAATTTGATTAATCAACCTCCTCCCAGTGTCTCCAGTCCTGTCGCTGTCCAGCCTACGCCTCAGAGCTATGAATTTTATCATGGAAATGGGACCAGTCAAGAAGTCCCTGGAAGACTTCACGAGGAGATCAAGGACGAGGTCAACGAGGGGAGGAAGGAGAGTCCTAGTAAAAATTCCATTCAGGTGCGTATAATTTTGCTGTTCGAGAAAAAAATAGATCTTCAGGAATTAGTTGGGGATAAAATTTGAATTGACTATTTTCAGATCAATCAATCAGTTCCAGCAACAATGTTCAATTCAGCAGCCTATTTTGCTGAGGACCCAGCCGCTGATCGCCTCTTCGCCGTGACGAATCCTTGACGGCTGTACATTTATTATGTATATTGTAACATATAATTATCTGTGTATCAACAGTTGGAAATTAATTCGGAATGATTCAGGTGTCAAAAATGTTGTCGATGAGATTTTTAAAGGAATCAAAAAAGCTGTTTCCTCTGAGTTGTATATTCGGCACATAAATATATATATATAATATATAATACAACAAAATATTCAGTAATTTGTTCCTTTCGTCTTTGAATATATCTTGGTTGAATGGCACGCGGTTAATTCTTCAGTAAATGTCTACAAACCCCTACCACCGATAATTTATGAAATTTCGGTTAATTCCATGAAATTAAGTAATAAAATAAGCACAGGGATTCGATAAATATTGATTAAGAATCCTTCCCAAAGAACATGTCAACAAAAAGTTTAAAAAATCGAAGCTAGTGGGGCCTGTGGACATTTACCAATTCTTTTCGTTAGTCTCACTTGACTTCATCTCCTGCAAATTCTGATGCGAAATTTATACAAATTATGTGAATGACAATACATATATATACCTAGGGGCACGACCTTTTTATACACAGAAAATATGCCCGTAAACCTGAACTACAGCTGATCCTTTTAAAATGTAAATATTGCTCTTTGGTGGTTCAGTCTGGTATCAATTCTCTAAACAAAAAATTCGAAAGGCAATCCTTTCGAAAAATTTTAGTCTCGCTATTGTAGAAGTTGTTTTTGCTTTAGCTTCTCAAATCTGTAATTGACACTCATTCATCGATCCAGTGGAAAAATCCAGGGAAAAAAAATATTAAATCGCAAACGCAACGCGTAATTTACAAATAATAATCTCTCCCTCAAACATGCGGTTGAGATTTAGTGGTAAATCTGCAAGAGTGAATTCCACATGAGCAGGTAATTAAGGCACAATTAGTGGATTTAATTTAATATCTGAACTCCCTCGATGTTAATGTACTCAAATAGCACTTGCAGACGTACCGGTCTCAGCGTTTGCCACGTTTTCTCTAAACATAGACGAGTGCTTTAAATAGAAAAACCATTTGGAGCAACAAACGTGAGAAGTTGGTGATTCTCGCATTTCGAAATGATGGAGAACCTTTCCACCATGCGGTTATCGTTACTTGAACAGGTCGAGGTCTCGATTTATTCGGTTCTGGTCGTTGTCATCGAAAAAGTGCTCGTCATTTCTGCCAAGAATTTTTTTTTTTGGCAGCACTCGTTTAATTGAATTCCTCATTGCACACGCCTGCAGTAATAGCCCAGCGTCTTGCATTTTTCGCAAAGATGCTGGGGATGAACTTTACTTTGATCAGAGACATCTAATCCATCGGGTTTCTCTAAAGGCCTCTGGAAACACACCACCCTCATTATCATCGTCAATCTTCATTAATTACCAAGTGGATTATGAGCTATTATTATTTATGAGTTAGATGAATGATGGATTCCTCTAGAATGCTTTCCATTTTAAAAACCACAAAAGATTCGGCCTCTGTAATAATTATCTCGAATTTTCATTAGAATCCCAAATTCCCTTCAAGAATTCCCTTCATTATAATTCCGTTTGCGAATTCCATTGATTGTTTACTTATCCATCCCTTCCCAGACAATAAATAAATAATTAAACATAAAAAATCTAGCGAACTCGTCAGAAAATTCCATGAAACCTCGAGAATTTGTATCGCTGTAAAATTATATTAAAAGTTATATAAAAAAATAATTCGACAATAAATAATCCGGTCCTATCGATTTCTCCGGCACTGATCATAATTTTTAATATTTGATATATTTTATATATCCTACTGTATTGGAAATGTTAAATTTTATTGAATTATAATTACGCTATAATCAGCAAGGTTTTTTTTTTTAATAATTATTCATCAAAGGGCTGTTTGTTTATGAATAGCATGAAGGGACTTACGTAACGCAAGGAGGAGTTGAACAAGTGAGACGGGGATGTTGATACTGATGCCGATGGCCCCAGACTCACCTGCTTGTGAGGATAAACGTTGATATGACACTTGATGCACTCCTGGCCCATGTTGGCCCAACTGTTCCCCGACATCCACTTGCGTTTGCATTTCGAGCACTTGTACTCCCCGAAACAACGCTTTTTCCCCTGATAAGGGGTCAACCCCTCGCCCTTGGGTCGCGCCTGCATTACAACAATCATATAATAATAATAATAACATATACTCAGTCTATATTACCGATATATTACTCTCGAATATATTCTAGATATCAATGATAATTTTTTCAACTCGAGTGATTAAAAATATAATTACGATATGAGAGTACACGTATAGTAATTGAATATTATTTTTATTAATTAAATATTCATATATTTTTAAATATTTGAAGAACGAATATATAATATATTCTGTATATTTGTGAAATGTGATATACTAGATTTAATTCTCATGTGATCGTGCATGTGTAATTATTGGATGATTGATATTGATATATTTTGATATTAATATATTTTAGATATTTCTATATTTCATGCATTTTTTTTTTTTTTTTCGTAATGGCGGTTGAGGCCGGTTTTAATGTTCCCCGCATACAACCGACCCAGGAACAAGCAATATTTGTTGTATCAATTAACGTTCAATTGAAGCGTCAGCCACGTACGCATTCCAAGGCACGCGTATCACTTGTAAAGCCCCTACTGTCAGGGTTTAAAGCGCAAGTGGAAGTTGAGATAAAAAAGGAAAAGAGAGAAAATATCGTTGAAATGATATCGCGATGAGAGAATAAAACGCACATGTGTTGAACATGTTGGCGTTCCACAGAGGCATACGTCATTCATTTAGTCAACGAATCGTAACTCCAAATCATTTGCAGTTGCCGGTTCATTATTTCCTCCACCTCTCATTGTTTTTAATGTCGAATGGGTATTCGTGGGAGAGAATCAACTGAAATTTCGACGAACCGCGGAAATTTCATTTCGCTGAGAGCACGTTCCGAGTGAACGTACAAATGGCGTCTCAAAATTATCCGAAAATATCCGAGCATTCAGGGCCACCAGAATTCACTACTCGTGTCTTCAATAAATGCATCAATGGGGGAGAGGGAGGTACATAGATTGCATTGTGTAATTGATTTCAACAGAGAATAGGTATTCTTTGACTGGTTGATTTATGTATTACTTACGTTTTCGGGGAATAACTCGGAATCCGCGAGGGATAATCAAGTTTTTGTTAGAACATTTTCTACAGCTCTTTCTCAGGTCTACAAAAAAGGTTCTACGGAATATTTAGCTATCTCCTTTGAAATCCGAGATATTCCGCAGAAACGCGACTCACCGATCATCTTGTAGAATAGTAGAATCTAGATTCTCGGGGAATAGCTCTGGACCTAAGAGAGCTAGCGAAATTTTCGTTACCACCTTTCTTTCGGGTCTTTTTTTACTCTACAAGTAAGGTTTATACAAAAATTTCGCTATCTCGGTTAGATTCAGAGATATTTAAGGATTTACTGGACAAGTCTGGAAGGGGACAGGTATAGGCTACCACTTTGCTACCGATTTTCGATTCGCTGATTTACTCTAATCACCTGAGGGCAATCTCTGATGTAGTGGCCTTTCTTGAAGCACAAGTGACACAAATATGTCGACGGTGGTCTCTTGGTTGGCTTGCGATCCAACAGCCCGAGCTCATTAAAGTGCTCAGCGAGATCTCCAATGCTCTCCACTAAACTCCCACCAATTGGTACCGATCCAGGAGACAGTGGGCCTTTTTGCAGGTATGACTGGTGATGGGTGTTTGCCGTTGGAAAATTACCCCACACCGTTGGCAATAGTTTACTCTAATCATTCAAAAGATATTTCATTTAAATCGATTCATTTTTTGGATTTTCCTCCAACAAATCGTTAAAAAATCATCAAAAAATCGATCAAAAAAATTTTATCGGAAATCAGTGGAATTCTAGGATTATCCCCAAAATTTTTATTTCGAATTCTATTATAATTTCATATTCTATAATTAGATTTAGAAGAAAATCTCGGGATAATTGAATTATTCACACAAACTATTTATTTAATTTATTTATTGATAATAACAAAAGGATATTTTCCTTTAAAAAATTATCAAAAAATCGATCAAAAAAATTTTATCGAAAATCATTGGAATTCTAGGATTATCCCCAAAAATTATCATTCCGAATTCTATTATAATTTCATACATTTAATAATCAGATTTAAAAGAAAATCTTGGGATAATTGAATTATTCACACGAACTGTTTATTTATAATAATAAAAAAATAATTTCGTGTACCTGATCGCTGTGTGGAGGTGGATTTTGATCGGTAATAGCGAGATAAACCCAATTAAGCAGATGTGGGGGATAATTAGAGTGAATAGTCTGTGGCATTGAGTTCTGGTGATGACTCTGTGGATTTTCCTGGAGCTGGAGATGCTGAAGTGACTGCGGTGGAGGTCTGGGGTGACAAGCTGCCATCCTCTCAGCTTTATCTTCCACATTAAATAAGTCCACTATTTAATTACCGCACTTTTTCGGGGCAAGTTTTTTTCCCGGCAATTTGAATTTTATTCAATCGATACAATTGATCACGCACTTGATTCTCTAGGTGATGACATTATCGAAATTATTTATCCAGCTCGTCACGGCCGGGTGCTGGACCCGACGTGCGGCTACTGATGCTGTGGTAAACTGAGAGCCTGTACTGACTTTTCAGCTTGACACACACCAGCAAATTCGTTTTATTCCTACACTTGGTGTGGGTACATTCTACGTACGCTTCGGGTACTCACGGATTATGAAAATATCTTCGAGGGAATTTAAAGAAGTTTCCTCATCTCTTCCCCTCACGGAATATCAGTTATTGCAGGATTTTATGGAAATTTTCCTCTCACTGATTCTCTCGTGAGAAGAATTTAATTATTCAACTCCAGAAAATGTACTGAATTTTATTTTCCGAAATTTACTGTATTGAAATGTTTTTATAGAAAACAATTCCTTATGCAATGAAAATATTTTCCAAGAAACTAATTTAATTTATTTCATTAATTTATATATATTTATAATATATATTAAAATATGTATCGTAATTTTGAATTTGTGTTATCAAGAGCTTGAGAAATTATTAATATTGATAAAAAAATTTAATTTAATCATGAAGTTGTGTTTATTTAATTTATTTATTAATATCCATGTTGTGAATTTTTTGGGGATAATTAACAATGAAGGAAATTATTCGATGGGAATAAATGGCGCAAGTTGAATGGATAAATTTTTTAAAGGGTTGGAGATTCTAAACTCGGTATGCAAAAGGAACCAATTGTAATTGCCTTACTTCCCCTGGAAAAAACAACGTTTATTTTAGTTACCGAGACCCCCGCCATGTGTAACTTCTATTTTCGAGTTATTATGAAGCTCCCACACTCATTCACTCGAGTGCCTGAACCTCACACATGTTTTTTCCCTTTCAGAAAGCGTTAAATTTTGTAGCCGCCTGGAATATCAGGAATACCTCATCCCAAAGATCGAGACTCCACCAGTCACTCGATACCGATCACTCGATTGATTGTTTGCTAAATTAATTCCTAGAGAAAAATAAATTCTTATAGAAATCAGAAAGAATAATTTTGTAAGCCTCAAAGTCTTTTTCAAACTTCTTTTTTAAATAAAAATAAAATAAATCATAATCTTTTTGGAGTTGGACTTGTGACTTGAATCCTGGAAGAATGTATTTTATTCTAAGTAAATGGGGGAATAAATGGAGAAAGATGGGAAATTGTTGGGGAAAATAATGTGCCGAGTCGTTGAACTCTCGTTATAAATATCTCCTGATCGATGGGTATCGACAAACTGAGAGGGGAACCTTAAACAGCCTGACATAGAGACAATGTGTACTTGTGTTCATCACGAAAGTATTCTCATGTAGCATGTCGTAAATTCTGGCGAAACGATCGAACGATGAAAAATGAGGGGCAGCGAATAATCCAGAAATGAACGGCCGTCGCGAATTCTCAACCCACCGTCGCCTAAAGACAACTTTAATTGGATTTATTATGATCATGCTTGAACTTTGCGTGCACGTCCTTGACGTCGAGAGCTTTCAAAAGGTCAGGATCAGGAAATTTGAAAATGTTTAACCACTGATTATACCTCACGAAGGGATAAACTGATTTGGATTTCCGAGAAAATTCGTAAAAGGGGCCGAAATCGATTCCGCCATTTTCCTCAGACTAAGTACGAAAGGAACTTTATTTTAGGATTAAACTTGTTTCAAGTCTGAGAATATTTTTTGGATTTTTTCAATGGGAATTTGAACGCTTGACTTGGGATTTTTATGAGATTTAAGGCGAGAATTTTAAGTCTTAGTCTCGGACTTTGGGGACTTGACTCAGAACTTTACGCCTCAACTTGAATCCCCCCAAGTCAAGTCCCCCCCAAAATAAATTCAATAATTTGGGAGTTCTTTCTTAAATTTTAATTCAAGTCTTGAGTCCGAAAAGTCCGAACTTGATACAAGTTCAAGTATTCTCGTCCATTAAAAATCCAAAAGTCCCAAGTCGAGACTTTCGAACGGTTTCAAATTACCACACAGAAAATCTCACCTGAAGTCCGCTCAAAGTGCCACCCCAAGACTTCAATCAATCTTTAAAGTCCGAAGCGAAGGTAATCCCCAAAACAACTTAACCATTCCTCGAGTGCGGCCTTCATACCTCGCCGATAAAAAATCCTCTTAAAACTTCTCGAGAGCTAGTTAAAACTTGGAAATCACAGGATCCTCCCCCATTGAACCGCCGAGGCCACCTGATCACCCGAAAAAGAAGAAAAACGACGTAAAAAAAAATGGCGGGGAATAACAATATTAAATAACATGTCTCAGGTAAAAAATCATGCTCCCGTGACTCCCAGTGTCAGGATATCGTTTGTATATTCCACCTGACAGCGGTATCCCGGCACAACCCCTTACCATCCCCCACCAGGTCGTCTTTACCCGTGGGAGAGCCTCCCCAAAAGCTAATTATTCACCAATCGATATACATCGATGAGAGTCACTATCTTAAAACTGCGATACCATTCCATGTCGGAGGCTCGTGCGTGTCTGACCTGAAGTAGACGTTCAGGCACATAAACAGGACTTTATTCACCGACGAAAGTCTAAAAATTCGTAGTGGAGTTATTAGTACCTGGATAAATGAATTATCGGAGACCCTGGGGATGGACAAGTACGAAAATATTGAAGTGGTTGGGGAGGGAAGTTATGGAATTGTTATGAAGTGCAGGCATCGGGATACAGGACAGATCGTCGCGATTAAGAAGTTCCTGGAGACTGAGGAAGATGTCCACGTCAGGAAAATGGCGTATCGAGAGATTCGGATGCTGAAGGTAATTGTTTTTGGTGGAAGGAAGGCAGTCAGTTGAGTTTTGGTTTCAGGGACCGTTGATTTGAGACTTGGGACTTGAGACTTTGAACTGGGGAATTTAGTTAGACTTTTATTTATTTCCTAATCTCGCACTGCGATGGGAAATTTAATTAATGAAGAATTTTTAATTGAATTGTGGGAGTCTCAAATTGAGACTTAGAAATTCATGAAGAATTTTTAGTCTCAAGTCGCGAGTGTCGCGAATTAGAACTTGACTCGCGAATTCGCGAAAGGTAGTCGCGTGGAGAAAGATTCTGTTTAATTGTTATTAATTAATGATAATTAAAAAAATCATTTCCAGTGGGCATTGAATTTTTTCAACTTGAGAACTTGATCTTTGGTTTAAGAAACTTCAGCACGATAACCTGGTTAAGATGATCGAAGTATTCAGGCGACGAAAACGTTTCTACTTGGTCTTTGAGTACCTGGATCATACGGTTCTCGACGAGTTGGAGGCGGCGTCGGGGGGGCTGGGCCCCCAGGTCTCCAGGCGACACATATTCCAAGTCGTCAGGGGTCTAAACTTCTGCCACACGAATCACGTGAGTCTGGAACACAGACTTTACTTGTTCGATGCCTAGCAAAACGCGAGGCATCAATGGTATCTCTGTTAGTCCATCCATACATTTACTCCAGGGGGGAATTTTAATTGCTCGAAATGATTCCTCCAAGAGGCCTAACACACCAGAACCCATTTTAACCTTCCATCAAAAAATATTGCGCACATGTTTACAAATGAATTACACGAGATTTCGTTTTTTAAAAATTCCAATCAGTCAATAAATTTGAGTAAATTTCGAAAAAGGGCCTTTTCTTTTTTTTAAATTAATTTAACGACAAATGGTTATTGATCCGGATGTCCGAAATAAATTGAAAAGTTTGTTCTAGATAATGCACAGGGACGTGAAGCCGGAGAATATCTTGGTATCACCGAATGGAGTAATAAAACTCTGTGATTTTGGGTTCGCGAGATTCGTGTCGGGGCCGAATGAGTCTTGCACGGATTACGTGGCCACGAGGTGGTACAGAGCCCCAGAATTATTAGTCGGTGATTCGAGGTACGGAAGATCCGTTGACGTATGGGCTCTAGGGTGTCTTTACGCGGAAATGGTCACTGGGGATCCCTTATTTCCTGGTGAGAGTGACGTCGATCAGCTGTTCCAAATTACCAAAGTTCTAGGTCAGTAATCACCCGTGAAAAAATGAAAAAATCGATTACTCCATTAATTTCGATAAGTCCTCTTTTAATAAATTAAATAATTCCACTATATTATATTTTCAATTTAAATGTTCACTAAAATTCTATTATAATTTCATATTCTATAATCAGATTTAGAAGAAAATCTCGGGATAATTGAATTATTCACACGAACTGTTTATTTAATAATAAAAAAAGGATTAAATGTTCACTAACTGAAAAAAATATTGAAGTTATTTAATGTTTACATTACGTTTAATTGAATTATTAATATCACATTAATTAATATATTATTATTATTTTAAAAAATCAGTAAGATGAAGAGTGAAGTCTGGATTTTGCAATAATTTTTGCAAATCTTTTCATTAGTTGATTTTTTTTTTTGTAGGTTCATTATGTTCTAAGCACCTCGGTATGATAAACCGAGGATTCAGTGGCTTTCCAAATCGTCTCTCAAGAAGATCGAGTACTTCCGACGATTTGCATTCATCAGTAAATACCGTTCGTTCCCTGCGCAGTATTTTTCCCAAGTGGTCACCACTGGCCATCGATTTTTTATCCAACTGCTTGAGAATGGATCCAGACACTCGCCCTTCTTGCGCCAATCTCCAACAGCATCAGTTCTTCAATCACGATGGCTTTGCTGATAAATTTCTGATTGAATTGGAAAAATACATAAACAAAGAGAACGGAAAAAATCTCCTCATCTCTAGGAGACCGGAGAGAAAAACGTACACCGAAGAAACTCCGAGAATATGTTACGCCAGTGCGGGAAGGTGATGATAATAGTGATAAGAATAAAAGTTCTCTGATAAAATAGGTTTTAGTGATAATTATATAATTTCAGGTGGCGAATGCAATTGATTAAAGAAACCGGTAGTTTTTCCACGAAACCGGATGTTGAAGATGTTTTGGAGATTCAAAATGCGCAAATTCTCCCGCAATCTGAAATTGTCATTCCCACGCGCAGGAAAAATCAGAGAGAATCACTTTATGCTACCATCTCTGGAACACCGAACACAACGTACATCAGGCGATTAGATATTAAGGGAAGTTTACCGATGGACACGAAGAATTTTTCACTGCCTGCATTACCCTCGAAGGAAAAAAATCATTTCAAACGCGAGAGCAAGAGGCACAAGGATAAATTGTACTAGCGATATCTCCTGTATCGACTGTGGGATTTCTCATCGAATGTTGATAATTGGATGTTTAATTTGTTGTTGCGAGCTCGGTGGAATAAATAATGGGAAAACCAATGGCAAATGTTTTAAATACCAGAATTTGTGTCGTCATTTTTACTGGAGAAATGACAATTGATTTTTTTTCGGAGCAATTTCTTCAATTATTTCCGATCATTTTCGGTTGATTTATAAATCTCTAGAGTAATAGTTAATAATAAATCAACTATTCTGTAAATTCTCAGATTTGTTATCAGACTGATGAGAAAATATTCTGTTACCGATAGTCAATAATAATCCTGGAGACTTGAAGACTTCAACACGGGCGTTGGTGGCGCATCGATTCGATTCCGCGAATAAAAGTTCAATTACTTAACAATTACAATTATCCAACAATTACATTACAATTAACAAAATCCCTGAATTAATTTAAAATATCAATAAAATATCAATATTCTTCAGAAATAAAAATAAATCACACAAATATTTTTTACGTAATAATATTTCACTTGTAAAATTGATTTATGTATTTGCTAGAGTAATATATTTAATTAGTTTAACCAATACAAATGGATGAGGCGAAAATGAGGGGGTGGTTTTCAGTTTTTCCGGTGGGGGGAAGAGGGTGATGGGGTGAGGTGGTGAGAGGGTGAGGGGGTGAGAGGGTGGTAGGGTGACGTTGTCGAATTTCCTTTGAACTCTTATCGCAGATCGATGCAATCGGGCGATAATGATTCACCTGAAAATGGCGAAATCCCATTGGCAGGTAGATACTGTAGTTTTGAGTGGTTGCGCATGCCATTCGCTTTGTACCCGAAAAATGACATCCCCAAAATACATAACGGATGAAGGGAAGTGGAATTGATGGGGTGGTACCAGTGAAAGATCTATGGGAACCGCGCATTCAGCTCGCGACAGATAAAAATCTTTAAACGAGTAATGAAAGCGAACTGTATCATGATGGTAATGCGATATCCTCGCAGTATAATGGGGCAAAAACCGTGGCCCCATTGTATTCAACTACCGATCCCCCAGTACTCAACTCTATACTTACTGTATCGGATGTTACCCAAAAGCTCACCCTCCAGTGGTGACACATTGTGTGTTGTAACGACAGGATGTGTGTTTCTCGTACCCCGGGAAAAAAATTGTGTAAACGACGTTTTATTATTCATTGAACTATACACGGGAATATTCAATAAAAATTATGGGACTCATGGTGGTTTTGGAGTATTCATTTTTGAGGGAATGTCTGAAGGGAATCTCTGAAGTCGCCGCGTACGACTGGAAATTTAATATTTGTTTATAAAAAATTGGGGAACTTGAGGGTTTCCTTGAATTATTGTAATTGTTTCAGTTTTTGATTGTTTATGAATTTTTGATGGAGAATTATGGTTGGAAAGGAAATTTTATTGTTTTTCTATTTTTACGGAATTTTCCCGATTTGTTTATAATAATTTTATAATAATTCAATGAAAATCGGTTTTCATGATTTTTCAGGTGATTTTAAAGGAAATGGGATATTTTATTTTTTCTATTGCCTCGAATATTTTCCTGGCAGAATTTTCCTTTCCCCGTGTTGATATACGACCCAGTAATTTACGAAAGGCTTGACCAGAAATTTCCCTGACTTTTTACGAGTCCCGAGTGTCGATTTTCTCAACTCGTTTGAAAAACCTACGAGAAAAAAAAAGGGTTGGATTTTTTTGGCTTTTTCGGGCCCCCAAAAATAAAGTCCCAGGCGGTTAATATTTTTGTATTTTATGGTTGAGGTTTTTCCTTTTTTTTTTCGTAGGACCCAAACATGTGCAAAAAAAAAAAGGGTTGTGAGGGGAATTCTGGTGACAATGCGGCGGTGAGCCACCGAAGAAGTTCTTAATTTTTATGGATTTTCGGGTTAAAAGGTGCAGCAGTTTTTCCGGAATATTTTTTTGCCCCCCGTTTTTCCGACGACTTATTTTTCCCTTCTGTGCGGTGGCGGGACGAACCGAGTTGCAAACTTTATTGGCCCTGTAAAAGTTTTTCGCCTCTACCCGATTTTTTTTTTTCCCACTAGTACTTACCTGGTATATTTCTTGGCCTCCCACTGACCACTGGGCATATACTGTCCCCTCGTAATCCCCAAAAAAGATAAAAACCCCCGGTAAAAAGGCGAGTGCTGAGAGAGAAAAAAATTTGTCGTTAAAAAGGTGGCGGTGAAAAAATAGGTGAAAAAAGTTTTTCATAACGAGACGATTATTCGAAGGCGATCATGAGACGATGATCGGAGTTTTAAAGAGGTGAACCCGAAGAAGTGGAAGAATAACGACAAAAAATGCTAACGATACCTCACTCTTTACACATTTTCCAAGAGGAAAAAAGTGCGACCCAGTTTTTTAGGGTGAGAACTTATCCCGTGTTTACACTCGGTAAAAAAAAAATTGAAGACACCACTCAGTAGCACATGAGTGATTTTTTTTTCTCACAACAAAAAACAGTCTTTTGAGTTTTTTTTTTCACCCGGGAGAACTTTTTAGACATTTTTTTCACAGGTTTGGGGATCATTTACACTTTTTTTTTATTAAAGGGTTATCGAGTGAGTGATCGACGTTTTTTTGTTAGAGCACTTTACATCGGATGCTGATGGAGCGAAAGAGATAACAAAAAATCTAGTTACGAAATTTTTTGCTTTTTAGATTTTTTCCACGTTGTATCAAATCCATTTACAAAACGAGGGGGTAAAAAGGGAGAATGGAGGAGATTAAAATTCCAGGGTTTTCCTAGCTGGAGTATGATCATTATTTTTAAGTGGATATTACCAAAAAATAGATTTTTTATCCGGAGAATTTTATAAAACACCCCGTATTAAATATTTTACCCTCTTTACCATACGATTATTTATAAAAATTTAACAGAAACCCGAATTTATATCGACTGCATAAATTCTTGAAAAATTGAGTCAAGTAGTCAACTCGAATCTAATTAAAATATTCTCTCAATTTATCGACGTGATTAAAAAATTTATTCAAATCAAATAATGATCATGATTTAATTTAGATATCTAACAGACAAAAATGAATTCTTGATTTTAATAAGTTCTCGAGTCAAGCACTTGACTCTGATTTTTTCCGTCTAAAGCTCATCACTCCCTTTTGCTTTCCGCGGTGCATTCGGCATTGCCAGTATAAATTTAAGAGGAAAACAAATTTATTTGATCATTTAAGCCGTACGTGTGTTTGGACGTGCAGCAACTTACGATCTTGAAGTAATCCATCAAGTCGTGTACCCCCATAGCTTATGTTTACGCGAGTCTATACACGAAGTAGTAGAATTGATGATAGCTGAGACAAAATAAAATGAAAAAATGGGGATAAAAAAAAAATTTCCACGGAGAGAGGTGGCGACAGCTGTTTACGTCGTTCATCGGTGAAAATGCGGGTTTAAACCCGACACGAGTAACACGCGGGGGCGCACGTACCATTCCCTCAACTTTTCCTCCCCTTTGTTTACGTCTTTCTCTTCAATAATAGATCAAAGAGTGATACATCTTTCCTGAGATAAATTCCGACACCTTCTGTTTGTTGATTCTCCGAAAATCCCCATAAATACGCGAGCCCCCCTCTCTCCCCACCCGCGAGGAGAAATATTCAGTACAACTGAAATTTCCAATTTTTTCCATTTTTTTTCTTCAGTCCCCATCGAAAAATAGCTCTCTCGTCATACCTTTTAGTGCAAATGACCTCTCCTCTCAATTCCCTCTCATCGTTAAAAAAATATTCGATGTAATTCGATTGAACTCGCAATTTTTGGAAAAAAGCTGAAGAGTAATTGAACTACAAACCAAAAATTTCGAGGTGTCGATGGGTTGGAGATAATCACCTGGAATGACCCTACAGATGCCATCGAAAAATCGTCAGTCCTTTTCACCCTGTGGATGCCCTTTCATTACCCAAAACGTTTTCAACTACAAGTCGGGTCCACTTTGTCGAGAGTTGAGGAGAAAAACCATAGGACCAACTGTCGTGGGGCAGTTGCGTCAATAAGAGCAGCTAGAGAGGGCACGTGCGACTGTAAACCGGAAATGTTCAATAGTCCCCAGCAGACTTATTTCATCCGGTTTTATCTCCGGCTGCTGGACAATGTCAAAGGGGGAAGGAATTTTCATTTTCTGTTGATAATTACTCGGGGATTTCTCTTCACTTGTCGCTTCTGCGGTTCGCGCCCTCAAAAAATTGTTTTGAGTCAAGTGTTAAATGAATTTATGATTCAAGTTCGATCTGCAAGTTGATTCAAAGTTGAGTCAAGTCGAAAAATGGACTTGACTCCTGCGAACGGTCGACTTTAATCAAGACTCAATTCAAAAACTTGACTCGAATCAGATGGCAAAAGCGACTTGAATCAACTTGAAAATTGACTCAAATAAGTTTTTGTTTCAAGTATTCGCAGTGACTCAACGATTTCTCTGATAAAATTTATTATTTAATTTGATGTACCGGTTGATATTGAGATTCGTAAGACTCAACTTGAATCAAGTCGTAGATTGAACTTGAAAACTTGAAAACTTGGAAACTTGGAAACTTGACTCAGATCTGATACCCCCGTACGATAAATTCACATAGATCACGGGGTAAAAATGTCTTCCATTGTGATTGTAAATCGCAGGGCATGTGACACGAAGAAAGGATATTAAGGACAATGTCAGGTACGTTCCAGGGGGCACATGGCAGCAATGTTTGCAGACAAGGAAGCCTCGAGCCCCCGGCGGGCCCTCTCATTCTTCAATTCCATATATTTTCACTTTTTTATTTATTCTCCTTGTGTGCGGTGTCTCACTCTCAGTAGCAGTCTCGTTGACGCGTCAGGGTGACAACATAAATATAATGTCACGCTTCTACGCGCGCGAATACCTTTTTTTTTTTTCTTCTCTCCCCCTTATTCCTCCATCTCGCTTACTCTCTGGGGTTCTCATGGGAAGATGTCCCTCGGTGCCATGAAAGCCGAGATGGCTTATTCGAGGGAATGACAGGACCCCCCTTTTTTAGTCGAGATCCGTGAGGACAAAATGCTCGTGAATGGAGACCTGG